GATTATGAAAGCTGAATGTTTTTTAAGTTAATGCAATAATGTACTGAATGAACAGATAAACTTCTACCACTTGGACTCCCTAAAGAGTAACCCACTATTATTAATCTTTCAAAAGAATACTGATCTTATATATATAATATATATATATTTTACTTGGAGCAATATCAAGACATCTCATTGCTGCACAGCCTGTTCTTTCAAATAAATATACGAGTGTGCTGTCACACAGCCTTCTAGTTTCCTGACAGATTACAGCAATATGTATTTGAAAACTCACTCTCATATTTTTGGAAATTACATTTGATAAAAGATTAATCTCTACATAAAGCATATTTTTGTATTTTGTCCATAGTTTGGAAGTTAAGTTAGATCTTAGTACTAGCTCTATCTCTAGTGGATGTAACTTACTTGATTTAATATCAGAAGTATATTTCAGTGTTTGTTTTTTTAACAGTTACCTGAATTTTGCTTGAGTTTATTTTAAACTAAGCCTCCAGGCAGTGTGTCTGCTTATATGATTAGGTTTTTTTGGGGGTTTTTGTGGTAGTTGGTTTGGTTTTGTTTTTGTTGTTGTTGTTTTCTGAAAGCATTACAAGTCCAAAGTATATTTGGGCTTCAGTTAGAAGTTATTTGCTGTACTTTAAAGTAAGTCTCTCTTAAATGGTTTACAAAACTGATTGGATAACCTGAAACCAATAGTGTCTACCTTGATGGTAACCCATGGACTGTATTGACCCAAAAGTGTTCTGCATCCAAATTACTGGACAGGGTGCAGGCTAGTGAAAAGTACATCCATAAGATGTAAGATTTGCGCTTACATATAGTATTTATCCTTAGAAATGGCATTATCCTTCTGGGAAAAATTCCATAACCCCATTTCACCTGTCTTCACTTCTCCCTGTTACATCATCTACAGTGCTGTAAAGCAGGTGGTGGGTGCATCTGTCCTAAGGAACAGACCTCAGGGTTTTTGTGGTATATATGAGAAGACTCCTTACCTAACCTTGAACCCAAGATTTTATTCCCCTCACAGCATGAATGTGAACATTAAATGAATAACAAGGCTGAATTTAATCTCAAATGCTGGGCTGGACATTGAGGACTGGGTGAGTGCACTGTAAAACTGCAGCGGTAGTATGCAGAATCCAGCAGAACTAAAGCTAGATTTTTATTTTTTTTTACTGGGAGAGTGGTATTATAAACTGGTTTTTTTTTTTGTTATTTATAGATTATCCTTTCTGTTTCAAGTGGTATCTGCTAGGGTGACCAATGCATCAGTTGTCTTTTTTTGCTGTTTTGCTTTGGACCTTTCAACTGTAATTATTTTGACTGTTATTACTTGCTTGGACAGATTGGATTTGCAGACTTGGAATGTGTAGTTTCTGACTCTTGCTTTCACGTATGTGTAGTGAAGAGTAACTCTAGGTTTCTAAAACGAGATTAATCCCACTGTTGGCATGATTATTTGAGGGAGAGAGAAGAAAGCAGTGTTAATGATAATAGAGAAGAATGCAATGCTATTTTTAATGAGAGATTGGATATTAAAGAGAAACAGAAGGGTTAGAGTTAACAGTGATATGTGAAAAAGGCTGATGGGGAAATACAGATATTCTTATGGGGAGACTGAGATATGGTCCAGAAATCTAAGAGAAGGAATTTAAGTTGAGAAAGTCAGCAAAGGGGAAGAGTTCAGTGACCACATAGGTCATTATAAATGTAGAAAAGGGATAAAGAGTTTGCTGAAACATAGTTGAAAAGTCAGTGACTGTCATGAATGGATACAATAGCCTTACCCAGGAAAAGGAAAAATACCTGAATCTACAGTATGGTATTTTCATGATAGGGTTTTGCTGAGAAGAAAAGGAAATAAATGGCAATACACAATTATTAGAGGTTTCTGTAGGTTTTTGCCAGAAGTAGAAATGCTTATACAAAAGAGCAAAGAACAGCGTTTTAAGATTTTTATTATTTTTTTTGGAATATGCTACCTGTAATTAAGAACATTCTCAAGCTGAAATAAGGTCCCCTGATTCACAGATCCAGACTACAGAAAAAAAAATAATTATTAATGATAAATTACTGAAATTTTAGAATTTTTAAATGTAAAATTGGTGACCTCCTAATGCTTCTACTATCCACATTCCATTACAACATTTGGACAAGAAAGTATAGATAAAATAAGTCCAGACATGTATTCTATAAAACGATTTTCATCTCTCCAGAGTTTTTGAGACCTCTAGTGTATTGTGGAGTCTTACACTCATATTTATGTGGCCTAATTTCATTAGTTCTTATTAACCATTAGTATTAATTAAATTAAAAAAAAATTAAATACCTGGTCCATTTTATCTTATTAGTTCATCATTCAGTTAGAAGGTTGTCCTGTGTTCTTTCCCTTAGTTTTATCTGCAATGCAAAAGGAAAAGAGAAAGAGAACAAAAAGAAGCCATTAAATAAATTATCAACCATTATTTTTATTTGTTCGAGGAAGCAAAAAAACTATAAAGAATTCCTAAATTTTCTAAATTAAAACATTCTGAAAATTCAGAATTGGCCACTTTTAAACTTTTCTAACTGACAGCATTTATTTGTACCTCCAAATGATGCAAAATTAAATATAATTATATCACTATTTTTTTAGAATATATCCTTAAATTAAATATCAAAATAAATAATGTTTAAAAGAACACATTCTATTCTTCAGACTAATCTGTTGACGAGCTTAGTGACTGCAGAAATTATCCCATTCCTGTCTTTTGGCATAGATGTGATAGCTGGTTATGCTTCAAAAAAATAGGATATGCTAAAATTCAAGGGCAGCTGGAATTGTAACTGAGATCTAAAGACTGAAAATGAGAATACTGAAAGCAATTCTATCACCAAGCCTCTCAAGATGACATGTGCAAGCTTTCATGCTGGTCTTTCAAATAGAGCTGAGAGACCTGATTTACTATCAACTTGTTCAGCATGAATTAAACAAACATGTCAGCTGACTAACAGCACTCTCACTGTAAATAGCATGTCCTTCTGGTAGTGCAGGTAAAAAGGGCTTACCCTGCTTAATTTATGGTCTCCCTAGAGTTCAGTATTGAAAGACTACAGAAACTGCTGTAAATTCCTGATGAAATGCAAGCATAAGTCTGTTTACTATTAAATGTGATTTACCACACCCTCCCTTCTCTCAGCCACCTTGTAATTTTTGTACAAGGTACAGGGATTTTAGATAAATAACAATAAAAGCTTTTTATTTGGAGTTAGTGCAGAATAATTTGCATATAGAATTATCATCTATCTTTTCGAATCTCCTTGTAAGTATAACCTGTTTTTGCATATTTTTAAGACTATTTTTAAGGTTTGAAGTGAAGATGAAAATTTCAATGAGATCATAATCATATATCACTTCAAAACTGAAAATGGTGTAGACCTATAAGCTACTTTATGTAATAAATGCAAGGAAGATCTGTTCTACAGATTATTTAATGACAGTATGGAGATAAATGGGATAATATTTATCACATGGAATTTGCAGAGTCTATCCAATAGTAATGATAGTAATTCTGATGTTTGTACTACACATAATGCATTTTTATAACACTATGCTCATGGAAAGTAGAACTGGAGATTCTGATTATCAGAAAATGCTTCCAACTGCTTGTATGTATTATTCTGTGCATCTGCATAATTTTGAGAATGGTTAACTAGTCACTTTGTTCAAATGTAAACCTGATTTTATGGTAACTTTTACAATTCAGGAATTTGCTCTCTATAAATCTTATTTTACTTAGACTGGCATAATTTACGCCCAAAAGTCTCAATACTTGGAAATTTAAGAACCAGAAAAAAACATAATTCTTTTGTTGGTGTTTGTGATAAAGTTGAAGCTTCTTGTTCATTGGTCTCATTTTTGAACTTCCTGTCTTCCCTACTCAGATGGGTTTTATCATTTTGGAGTATGGTATGCTCACTCAGTAGTAATGCAAGTACCTGCTTAGCCACAATGGATTTATTAGCTGTTTTCATGAAGCCTTTAAAAAATGTAGACATATGATCGTTGGTCAGTTTAGTAGAGTTTTCTCTTTTTTATTTGCATGGCATTTTAACATGCACTCTTTAAAATCTACGTGGAATTACTTGATGAAATGTAGACTTTGTTCTGCCTTCACCTGTGCCCTTCTCCTTTATAACCACAAGTACATTTTTGATCTGTTAGTTAGATACCTGCTTACTTAGGCTCTGTTCCTGGTACCAGATTTTGTGTTTCTCTTCACTGCCTCTCTTCTGTATTGGGCAGGGATAGAAATTTAAAATCTTCACCTACAGTGCTGGTTTTTTTTCCTCAAGTCTTTATAAAAGTGTAGTGGCTTTAGTTTGCCAATTGGAGTCACAGCAGTAATTTAATTTATTTAATTATTTTTAAGGTATTTTAGGCTTCCTTCAAGCAGGTAACCTACAGAAGTGGATGATTGGATTTTTTTGAATACTGAATTAAGTTTGATCATTAACCTCTAGCTATTGTGTCAACATTGTCAATTTAGACACTGATGATTTGCGTGACTACTAATCCTACTGATGGGAAGTGTGAGTTGTTATAACAGCTAAAGTTGTACATCAGTGTTAAATTGTCATCCACATTTCTACCTGCATTTGATTGCTGAAACAATATAGCAATAAAGACATTGTTCAGTATTTGCATGCCTAAACTTCACCCTATTATCCTGTTTGGATAATGAATAGCTCTTAGGCCTCTTAGGAAGAATACTGAGCATAGCAGGCAGACAGTGGAAAGTGTGAAGTCTCAAAGTATCTCTCATCCTCTGCCTCAACCCATGATGGGGACTGAGTAACTAACAGGAACTTCCACTCAGTTTTAAGAGCTATGAAATACAAAGAATCTAGAAAAGCAACACCTCCTGGCCAACGCTCTAGGCTGTAATACTACTTCATTAATAACTCTTTTAAGAACAGCTGCTTAGATCCAGGACAATTCTTTTACAGATCTGACCATTCCTGTCACAAAACTCCTGCTTTGCAGCTTTGCTTGATCCACTCTGCACCCAACAAAGTTTCTGTAAGTAAAGAACTTCCTTCCAACTTCTATTTTAATTCTGAATAGATTGGCCTTCCCATGCAAGTTAAAAATCTTACCTTGTTTTAAAATTGTAGATGTCTGATTTCACATTTTCTGAAAGAGACTTTTTTAATATAGAGACTGTGTCAATCCTCAGCAGACTGGTATCAATCCTTTCATGTCCCCATTGGAGTATATTTTTTCCCCTTCAAAATATATTTGCATATGTTTAGATTGATCAAGAGATCTGATTGACTACATAAGGGTTAATCTCAGCAAAGCATTTTGAAAGATTTAGCTGTAAAATTTATAATGTAGCCTGTGATACTAAATAAAAAGCCGTGTTGGTATTTCCACTTTCATGCCAATAACCTTGAACAGACATAATTTTATACTTTCTTTTGGGAATGGAACCAAGATATAAAATTGGAGATGAGTATATTGCAAAGTGAGTAGTTGCTGCTGTGCTTTAAACATAGTCCTTATACTTAGGCAACGTACAGAATCCCCAGTGTTCTCCTTTTATGAATTGTACTTTCTTTGCTACTTTCATTCTAGAGACAGAAATACCACTGGCTCACAAAACCCTCAGTATAACTCTACTCCAAATGGCAAGCCCAACAGGTAAAAGAAAATGTCTGCAGCCTTCCTTCATAAAAGTGCTTTTTCCTTATTTGTTCTTCCCCTGTTAAGAATCCAGAAAATAGAGCTGAATCTGAGTTCCTTTTTTGGCTGATGATTAAACATTCTCACCATTATATAATATGATTTCCATTTTATTTTAAACATACTTTGCATGATATAAAAATATTGATCACAGTGAGCTTTAACAATTGTTACTGCTATAAACAGAAATGCTGCACGATGGTTTTAGTGGAAATAAATTATATAGTCATTATCTCTTAAAAAAAAAAAATCACAAGAAGGAGAACCTAGGCTGTTTGGTCATTGACAGAAAATAAGTCCTTATTGAGTTCTTTACAAAACGTGAACCCCAGTTGTCTTCTACATTTGCTTTCCATGTCTTGAGAAAAGCACAAGTCTGTCTCTGAAAGCCCCACAGGGTCTCTGGTGAACATTTAATTCCAAATATTAGCAAAGTTTCCGCTGTTCTTTTGATCTAATGGAAAAATGTACACCAACATGGCAAGTAGTGCTCTCTTTGCTAGTTCATAAGTGGTCTTTTCCAATATGTGGGTACACAGCGGCACACTTCTTCACTAAAGTAAAATCCAGCCTCGCAGCGTTTCGTCCGCACTGTACACGGAGGTCTGTAACAACTAAAGAAAGGGAGGAAAAAGCAGGCGTTAATATAACATGACCATTTATATTTAACTTGAGCAGAAATCTGTGTGCCTTCACATTGCCATTTCTCAATGGAATATTTAAGTCCTACAAATTGGAATTTTAACTTTTTATGTTCTTGCAACAATTTTCGTTGAACAATTCTTCACAAAAGACAGTGAAACAATAACGATTGATACTGAAGAAAAATTATTCTATCGCAACAGATACATACGGATCTTTTTTACCACACTGATGGGTGCAGTCGCATTCTAATCTTGAGTAGTATTTTTTAAAGCTTTAGTTTGAAAATAGGATATATTTCTGTATTCAAATTGTTTTTTTATAACCTACTGCATCCTGCAAATTGGAGGTGGTAATCCAGAATCAGGTGATAACCAAATCTATCATCCTCCTGCCTAGGATGTTTCTCATCTTACTGATTATTTCAATAGGTTTGTCTACATGTGTTACACTGTGGCTCTAATCTGGAAAATGAGAACACTCTTCCTTTCAGGTTGCAAATTCCCACAGCCAGCCTCTGAGCCAGTGGGAATACATCTACGTTCATACTGCATCTGTGTGCATTCTGAAGAAAAAGCCTATTTATCATGTTTCTGATAAATCTTAATGGAAAAAGAACAGAATTAGTGTCTACCTGATTAAAATAGGTTTAACAGGAATACAACACTGAACCACAGATCACATCTCCCTATGCAGCAGCAGAAGTTTTCCTGACCAATTCCTTGACTGAAAAATAGAACTTATACAAAGATAATATCTCTGGTTGTCCCTGAACCCTTCCTTTTCCTATTTAATTTTTCTATTAAAACAAGAACTTGACCCAAAATAACCTTACAATAACAATGCTAAATACTTTCTGGTGTATAATGGAGACAAAGTACAAGTCTGTGATTTTTTCAGACACTGGCAATGAGTCAAAAGACAAAAGTATATGTCTTGAATTTCAGCACAGTTGTACTTAAATAATGTGTGCCTGTTTGTGAAACACCAATATTATGATGTATTATGATAACTCTTACTTACATCTATAGAGCAGGCTAAATTGTGCAATATCACTCTCCTCTTCCCTGGGTAATTCTTGTTTCAGGTCTGTGGCTACTCTTACTGTTGTTGCAAGTAAGTTAGTATGTTGTGTGCTTGTTTTGGATAGTAATTTACTGCCCTGCAATAATTTATGATATGAGGTGTGCACTACAGTTACATTAATTCACACCGTCTAGTTCAACAAATGAATTTGGCAATGAGGAAAGCAATAAGGAATGAGGAAGACTGCAAATGGGACATTTATTAACTAGTCACATCATGCTCAGTGTTTTCAATGTCATTTCTCATAGATTAGTTCACCACTGTGGTCTCTGTAACTAAGGGAATAACATTATTTTGTGTCACTTAACAGATATTTGAAATCGGTGTAGCAGCTCATGGGAATCTCTCAAAGCTCTACTGACCTATTCCCCAAAAAGTTTGGAAATAGTGCTAAAAGGCAACAAAAAGGTTTGTGAAAGGATCTAATATTGTGAGCGAATAGGCAACCAGCAGTAGATCTGTTCTGGGGAAAATGTACTCCACAGAGACGCAATGGATGAAACACTCAACTCACCTTTTTGCTGTCTCTGCCATGAATGACAGTAAAATGAAATAAGATAAGAAGAAAAAGAGGCAAAGCCAAATTCGTCTACACACCTATGACTGTACACAATGAAAAGCAGTCATGCAAAGATTAAGCAGGAACAGCTCACTTTGTATAGGATTCATGCCTCCTTGTGAACTTCAACTTGCAGCTGGGAGTGCTATACAGCACCTCTCCCATGTGAGTTTGTGTCTAGTAGCAGTCAAGGTCAGGTTACTTTAGTCTTATCCTTATTTGGGACATTTCAACAGAGCGAGAAAGTCCCTCTCCTCCTCTAAAGTGCTTAGCAGATGAAGTTCCTAGTTATCTGGCCCAGCCAAAACTGACCAAAATAAATTTTGGAGGTGGTAGCACAGGGTGAATAGCAGCAAAGTCATTGTAACTACAAAAATGTAGTTTCCTTAGGAAACTGCTGAACAATAGACCAGGTCTTTCAAGAGATTGGGTCTGAATGGTGTTTACGGAGTGGTTTCATGTGACAGAGGTCTGTTTCAATGAGGATAATCTGAGCATGCTGGAGCTAAGATACATCTTGAGTCACTATTTGTAGTGCTGAGCAAAGCAGCAGCAACTTTCTCTTTATGGTCAATAATTGTGATTTTTTGCTGTGCAGAATGCCCAGATTGTCATTGTGGGCAATCTAACAACTCCACAGAGGAAACATTACTTTGTGGGCTGATAAACAGCATAATCACCTTAAAAAACAGTATGCTGAGAGCCTTTTTTCCCTTCCCATGCTGTGCTTTGTAGATGATGTTGTATTCCTTTCATCTGAAGCAGGGTGTAACACTACAGGTAGAGGCATTTTAGGTAAGTGCATAGAAAGATGAGTGCTTCAAAACAAGAAGCTACAAGCACTGCTTGTAGGACAGGGAGCCATCTAGGACATGACTACAGGATTATGCACATGTCTAGGGCTCACACATCTAGCACAACTCTAAACAGAGTGGTACTTCTATTTATTTTTAATAAATTTGTATAATTAATATAGCTCATTTTTTTATTATATTAATTAAATAGTACAATTGATGCTGTTTTAAATGAGCAAGAGATCTTTCAGAGATGAAAAGGATGTTGCAGGATTTTTATTCTTTTTAGAGACAGTTTGTGCTGGACAGAGCCAAAATGTGAGAAACTTATGCTAACTCTTTTCTTAAGGAGGAGAGATTGTCACCTCTATTTTCCTTGACAGGACCATTGATTCCAGAGGTATAAGGTATCAACATATATAAACCTTTCCTTCTGCACTCAAAGAGAAAAGAAAAACATCTTAGAAAAAGGGTAAAAGCATCCTGTACCATACTGTCCTTGGAAGTGAGAAAGTGATTCAAACTCTTTATTATATTCAACCACAACACAACAGAGAAAAGCTGAACTTAATTTCCTCCCTCAAATACTAAGTCTTTAAATCAACAGAGATATTGAAATCAACATCAGATATTTAATATGACATTTCTTAGCTTCTTAAGTGCCTGATTTCTCCAGTTCTGAATGTTTTTTAAATGTTCCAATTTGCTATTTTCCATTTGCAGTGCCTGAATTGTTATTTGTCATCCATATAATAGAAATACTTCCCCTATATTAGAAATAACTGATCTTTCTTCTCCAAATGGCATTTTGTGTAGGAAATGTAAAAAAAAAAAAATTAACTAAGAAATTTGTTCAAGGAATTTACAAGAGAACTTTACAGGAAAACTTTCATCACATAATATACAAAGCAAAAATAATACTGTTTGATTCTCATAAACCAAAGTCATTTTATAAACTGCTAAAGGGTGTAGCAGTCATGGAAGGTAAAGGTCTTAGGTTATATAAAGAAATTGCAGAATTTTCTTCCTGACTAAATTTCATTTTAAACGGTGAATGAAGGCAGTCTGTTTTACAGTTATATATGCCTCCTTTTCACAAAAATCACCCAGAGTTAGGTGATTTCAAAATCTAGGAGGTGGAAATGAAAGATGTTATCTCCGGAACTGAAATCTAATTAGGAATATTTGAGTTATATGAATATTTGAGGTACTTGAATTGCAATATTCAGTTCTTGGAAAAAAACGGAGTGTGATTTTAAATACAATCGGACATAGCAAGCTTGAACTTAGAGTTCAGTTTCATCAGGAAAAAAAAAGGAAAAGGAAGAAAAGTTCCAGGAAGCAGTCATAAGAGTACTGGAAACTAAACATGCTTTAGAATGCTTATTATGCCTAGTAGCTTTCTCTTAGAGATTATAGAAATCAGAGAAGATGAAACTGAACTGACGCCAGGCTTACTGTTTACTTGACTACCAAGAAAATCAACAAAACAGCTGATGTCACAACCCAAAATTTTAGGCCTTGAACACAATGAAAGAAATAAAAACTGAGGTTTTACCTGCATGTCTGGTGATGGAACCTTTTTCCTTTCAAGAAGCATTTATTGGGAGATTCTATACATTCACAGACGCATTTTGCAGGATTTAGCGGCTGATGTCTAGGACAGGTCTTTTTACATACACACTGGCACTTTTCTTCATCAAATTCCTTGTTGGGCCCACAGGAAGCAGGGATAAGTTTGTTTTTGCACATGCACTGACACGATGATCTGTCTAACTCTTTGTGAGGTCCACAGCTCGAGGGCCGTACGCCTCCTTTGCAGACACATTGACAGGTTTCTTCATCCAGCTCCTTGTTTGGTCCACAAATATGGAATCCTTCAGATGTGTCTAGAAAAGCAGCAGAGAAGTTGCACTAGTACCAGAATTTTGTGTCTACTCTGTCACCTATTTTTATGTGAAGAAATGAGCAAATCCACACCTTTTATGGTGTTTCAAAAACAAGCATATGTCAAAGGACAGGCAACAACCAGTAGTTGCATTGATACAGAAAAAATATACAAATAATTACTACAACTTCTTGTCTTTAGGATGACA